TTGCCACGTAAGTAACAGGAAGTCACAGACTTGGAAATTGCTTTGGCTCAGTGCAACAGTCAGAAAGAGATGATAAAGAATAAAGAATAAAAAACACTTCTAAGGAATAAATTTAAATTTAAAATAGAGTTACAGTTACTATTTACAATATACAAGTGCACATGGTGCACACAATGTAAGGTGACAGCAGTACAGTGAAGTAAAGTGACGTATGATGGGCAGTAAAGTGACTTTATAAAGGGCGGGGGGACAGGTTAAGGTGTTCAAGAGTCCAACAGCAGAGGGGAAGAAACTGTTCTTGTGGCGGGAGGTTCTAGTCCTGATGGACCGCAGTCTCCTGCCTGAGGGGAGTGGTTGGAATAGTCCATGTGCAGGGTGAGAAGGGTCAGCTGTGATACAACCAGCCCGGCCTCGAGCTCGGGCGACGTACAGGTCCTGCAGCGATGGAAGGCTGCGGCCGATCACTTCCTCTGCAGAGCGCACAATGCGCTGTAGTCTCTGTTTGTCCCTGACTGTGGCACTATATATTATATATAAAGTAGTAGGGATGTAAAAAACTATGAATTTTCATAACCGACCACCGAGCCTCATTAACCGGTTGAAACCGGTTAACCGCGTAGTTTAAAATAGTCCACGTTCTTTGAAATAACAGCCATTTCGAGCCGCGTACTTCTCATAAGTGCAGCTCTGTGTTCTACTGGATCAGAGTCGAGACAGCGGCGCCCAAACCCGCAACAGCTCCGGCACCTTTGCGCACAGAGAACTGCTTTTTTAATCTTCCCATTCTGCTGTGCTGCGGGTTAATACCAAAACTTTCTAGCAGCAAACGACGGCTCGTTCACATGGTCAGAGCAGCGAGTGACGAGCCGCATCTCACAGGTCTTCACAAAAGTTTAAATACAAGTGATGTGTGTGGAGCTGATCCCGAGGACCATAAACACAAACATGTTCCATGTGGTTTGACTGGAGCCGTGTATTTGCGCGAATCCTTTGGGCTCCGTGACACAGAGGAGCGCGACAGACCGGTATGTGTGTGTGTATGTATGTGTGTGTGTGTGTAAATGTAAGCTCCAATGTAGTTCTGACCCGCGCCAGTGTGCAACTTTGACGGTAACAGAGGGGAGAGATGATGCGTGTGGATGTTACGTATGGAGAGGGGGAAAGTGTGTGTGTGTGTGCGTGTGTGCGTGTGCGTGTGTGCATATGTGGCTCGTGCGGCGTGAGAGTCGTCCCGGAGTTTATAATACATTGGCGCACACAGCTAGATACAGACCCGCTCGTCACACCGTGCAAATAGGGCTTAAAATAGCGTTATTAAGAGACCTCCCCTCTCCCCTTTTTCTCTTTTTTAACCGACAGCTTTGACCGGTTAACGCTGTGACGGTCAAACACCGGTTAAACGGTCGCCGATTTACATCCCTATAAAGTAGTATAGTAGTAAAGTATTATTTGAACAGATACTTCATGTGAAAACAAACATGTTTAACTGTAGCTCATTGGACCTGTTTTATTTAACCTCAAACCATCTACAGCTGCACAAAAACATCTTTGGATCAGATTTTTCAGACAGAAAAGAGACAGAGAGGACCACCCTGAGTCAGCCAATCAGCTCAGCCCAACCCGTGACCCAAGGTTTGTTTTTAAGAATGTAAAATATGACATCCATCCATCCATTTTCTACCCTTTAATTCATTTCTGGGTCAGGGGGGTGACAGTCAGAGATGCCACCCAAGTCTCATAGCACCAGCCCCTCACTGACCCTCTGCAGGTGGTGAGCCCACAGGAGGATGGCTGCTCTCTGAGTGTGAGCATAGCCTTGATCTTTCAGTGGGGGCTTTTTGGGCAAAGTGGGGTTAAGTGTCTTGCCCAAGGACACAACGACAGCAGTCATCAGTGGGAGTCGATGGAGAAGGTGCAGAGGTGGGAAATATGACATGTTTTCTTTAAGACACAACAGTGATTCACTTTCACAAGATCATTTATGTGGGACAAAGAAAACAGATAACAATATAATCTGCACACCGGGGTAGTCTTGCACAGTCTTGCACAGTTTTTCCTATGTGGTTTTACTGCAAACGGCAAATAAATGAATCTGAATCTGAATCTGATAAACTTTATATAAACTTTAACCTTAACCACATCCACAGACTTTAATAAACAATTTCTAAAAGTTACTACAAAAGCACTACATTTGTTGAAATGTCAGGTACCTCAGCTTTAATCAGTGCCTGTGTTGTCATTCATAAAGAGGAGGTGAATACACACAGAGCTCAGCTCCTTCATTAGTTCCGTGACTGTTCTTTTCTGTTGTAAATGTGCGGCTTTAGCGCAGTCAGAGCCGCGCACGGCGCTAATCACGTCTTTTGTCGCCGCGATTGTGACTTTAACTACATTTGTTCAGTCATTTCCTTCGAATTTATGCAGAGAAGCTCCCGGAGTTAACTTTAGGCACACGGCGGAGAGAGGGCGCATTGTGAGCGGCTGAGGGTCCAGGGGCCAGGGGCCACACAGGCGGAGGCTGCTGCTGCTGCTGTTTGCTCGAGTTTTCAATAGTTTTGACTAAAGATGTAATAACAATTGTTTATATACGTCACATATTTATAACCTTTCACATGTTTCACACTTCTGTCTCCTGCATAAATCTGATTCTATCTGTGCCAAATGTACATTTCTCCATCATAGATCAAAACACTCTGTCTTATCTCATCATCTCTATCTATCTATCTATCTTGAAAGCAGAGTATATGAAACCCGTATATGTGTAAATGTAAATTCTGTAGGGCTGCAATGATCTAACATTTTCATATTCACGGTTTAAACAAAATCTCAGTTGTGAAAATATTTTGTTCTGGTTGTTTTTGTTTTGTCTTGTTTTTTGTCCAGAAAAAAATAGATAATTCATATTTATATTTAAAGTGTTCCATGTTCCGCGATACTGAGACAGCAGTGAGTTCAACAGCTCTGTCTTTGGGGAAGTACTATGTGCTACATGTATTATATGTACTATTTGTACTACATGTGCACTATAGTACTATGTGTACTATGTTGGTCTGGATGTACATACATGTGTAAAGTGTCACGCAATATTGACCAAAGTAAATATAAAAGCAATAATAACCATTTTATGATTAAACAATGCCATCGTATATGTTATGAGACAAGTGTTATTGTAGTACTATATGTACATGTATTACATGTACTATTTGTACTACATGTGCACTATATGTACTATGTGTACTATTTGTACTATATACTATATGAACTAAATTATTTCTAAACTAAAGTTTTATGAAGTTCCAACAAAAGAACCAAAAACGTGACTTTAGTGTATTTTCATTGGCGCTAATGGAAAAGTGTAAATCACGGATAAAGAGCTGTGTAACGTCACAGCGAGAAGCGTACTAAAGAAAAACAATATTCATTATAAAATAAAATTAGGCTTTATACGATAGTTTCAGGTCGTGTCGGATCCTGAAACAAAACACTAACTAAACTTTGAAAAACTTCATTCAAAGATCCAGGAGCCTCGGGGCCTGGTGCCTCTATTCCCGGGTATAGAGGCACCCCGCAGGAGCCTCCACGAAGAGCAGTCTCTGTGCTGACCATGGGCTGAATGTGAGCGGACTACACTATGTATTATTAGATATTATATATATTATATATTATAGATATTATTATATATAATATATTATTATATATTAGAGATATTATTATAGACATTTTGATAAATGATTATAGATATTATTGCAGATCCATGGACGACACACAGCGTTAATCACAAAAGTAATTCCTTAAAACTTTGTCAAACTTTGTCTTTTCTTTTGTACAAAAGAAAAGAAAAGAAAGTACATTTTCTTTTGTGTAAAGAATAAAACCAGATAAGAACAGTTTGTGTTTTAACCTCAAACTGTTTCAGCTGGAAACGATTCAGACCAAAATGTTGTCAGGACAAAGTCTGAGGTGAATAAAACTGAGATTAGAAATAAATAAAAAAATAATTATAACCTTTTGGAGACTGTCACTGTCTGTGTTTATATGTATTATATATTTATCTATTTTTCAGCGCGTTGCTGTGGACCACAGACAAAGATTTAAAACTAAAAAGATGAACTCGCTCCAGAAAAAACAAACCGTTCTGCGCCAAAGGCTTTGTCCCAGTTTGTCTTTGGCTCAGTTCAGATTCTTTGACTCGGCATGGAATGGTTTCGCTCTTTCTTTAATAAACCAGTTGGATTCAGACTAATGATGACGTCATTCATATAAATCATGAATATTGATTATTACAGGTCTCACAGGCTCCAGTGAGATTTAGATAAATGTGGATTAGATTCAGTCTAATGTCGTGTTTTTAAAATAACAAAACTATGTTTTTATCATAAATGTAAATATCAGTAACATGACCAAAGGCCACGGGACTGAAATACATGAGGCTGCAGCAGGGGCCGGGACTCCCCGGGTCTGGTCCTGGACCTGGTCCTGGACTCATCTCCGAGTGTCAGAGACTGTGACAGTGAGAATAGACTGATTATGAGGAGAAAGAAGCAGATCCACATTGCCCATTGAAATGCATGAGTTTGACTAAGACAAACTTTACTGGACCTGACGAGCCTCAAAAAGCTCTAAAATCAGAAACAGCTTCTACAGAAACTAAAGCTGGAGTTAGAGCCATGAGAGAGTTACGAACCCAGACCCTACAGGACTGTATTATTATGTTAATATAATTATACATGTGTTTATTAATATATTTATACATTTATTTATATAACACTAAAGGGTCTTACCTTCCACAGCGGACACCATGGGCAGCAAGAAGCTGCTCAAAAGCAGAAAGTAATCCATTGTCATAAAGTGAGCAGCGTGGACATGGAAGAAGAGATTGGGTACAATCCTCCGCTTGATCCGGGCCCTTCGGCTCCCGCGGAGTCAGTCCCGCGGAGTCAGTCCCGCAGCTCCAGCCCCATTCACCTCCGCAGAGTCCCAGGAGGAAAACACCCACAGCCTCAGAGCTCCACGGTCTGACAGCGCAGGCTCCAGTCCCGCTCAGCTCCAGTCCCGTTCACGCAGATCCAGTCCCGCTCACGCAGCCCGGGTCTGTGGCCACCATCCAGAGTATTTCCGGAGTATTTCCAGAGTCCGTGGTCCTTCAGAGTCCGCGGTCAGAACATGTTGTAGTCCAGACTGTGCACGGAGCAAGTTATTCCACTGAAGACTCGGGACACGCGCGGGTCGGACGCAATAAGCCGCAAATGTGGACAGGCGTAAATCCCTGGTCCCTGCGGTTCCTGGTCCTGGTCCTGGTCCCTGAGTGTGTTCTTCTGCTGCAGAGAAACGGCCGCTTCGCTCAGCGGGCTGCGCTGGAATGAGGCGCACAGCGACTCACCGAGAAGAGGAGGGAGGGGGGGAGAGAGAGGGAGAAGAGGGAGGGGGAGAGTGAGAGAGGGGAGGGGGGAGAGCAGGGGAGGGGGAAAGAGGAGGGGGGAGGATGGGGAGGGAGAGGGGGAGGGGGAGGGAGGGTGATCCCGGAGCAGCTGCTTTTCAAACATGTCCTGCACCTTGACTGTCATGAACACGGAGACGGTTCAAACACAGAACACGCGTCACATGTGAAGAAAGAACAAAGATCTCTTTTTTATTTCTCACAGAGCTACAGTGGAACACACACACACACAGACATATGTCAAGTTGTGTATCATGTTGTATGTTTTTGTGTATTTAAATGATGCCTCCCCTTTCCAGTGTCTCTGTGCAGCGCGGACGGACTCACAGCGCCCCCTTGTGGACACATTGTAATCCAAGTCTCAGTGGGTTACATTCATTAGATAAACTTGTAATTACTGGGTCAGGGTCTGTTAGGGAACGTTATTTTCTCTGTTTGTCACGTTTGTGTCACAGCGACAGGAGACACCCTAACCCTCACCTCAGAGAAACAGTTTTAGATTTTTGGACATGAAGGAAACAGAAATCATTTACATTTCTCTCCTAAAGCTCCACACCCGCTGGTCTCTCTCCTCATAATAATAATAATAATAATAATATTAATAATAACAATAACAATAATAGAAATAATTATAATAATAGTGATAATAATCAGTTTATCCCAGAGTCTGTAAAAAGGTAAATGTTGAGAACTTTTCAGACCAAAACAGAAGATTCTTTACAAATGCGTGTTTTTTAGAATAATATTTTTACTTTGATAAAATACTACTTTAAGCTGAAACGTTTACAGTGAAATTACTATATTTATTTATTATCTATCTTTTTTATTTCTTTATGTATGTGTGTGTGTCTTCTTCCTTCATCCTTCCTTCCTTCCTTCATCCTTCTTTCCTTCCATCCTTCCTTCCTTATTTCCTTCCTTTATCCTTCCTTCCTTCCTTCCTCCCTTCCTTCATCCTTCCTTCCTTCATCCTTCCATCCATCTTTCCTTCCTTCATCCTTCCTTCCATCCATCCTTCCTTCCTTCATCCTTCCTTACTTCCTTGCTTCCTTCCTTCCTTTGTGTTTCTGTCCTAAAGCCTCTCATGGACATGAGTCTGGTTTGTAAAACTAAAGATAGGTTTGTGTCCAATGACACTGAGTCCTTTAACTTCAGATTCAGATTCAAATTCAAACATTTGAACTTTCATGGGAATGGAAACATAAAATGTTTACACATCTCAGGTCTGAAATGGAACAGGGGCTAAAGATCATTGAGCCTTTCTCTGAATGTGACTCTTCTCGTCCTGAGCCGCTGTGTTGTACTGAGGAGGAGCAGTGAGGACCAGGAGGAGCAGTGAGGACCAGGAGGAGCAGGAGGAGCAGTGAGGACCAGAAGGAGCAGTGAGGACCAGGAGGAGCAGTGAGGACCAGGAGGAGCAGTGTGGACCAGGAGGAGCAGTGAGGGGCTGATGCTCTGTGACTTGGGTGGCCTCACTGACTGCCGCACCCAACTCAGAAATGGATTAAGGGGAAGAAAATGGATGGATGGAGCTTGTTACACGTCTTAAACATTATTCTCACATCGTTCTCTCCCTGTTGCACCAGTGAAAGCAGAGTCGACCGGGGCGGTCTGGGACTCGTGTAGACCTGGGACCAGGGAGGAGGCTGAAGGGGGCTGTAAGGGGCGGCTCTGGAGAGTCTCAGCCACTTCAGATGGATTCCAGGCCCAAGGAGGAGTGTGTGTGTGTGTGTGTGTGTGTGTCTGTGTGTGCATGTGCGTGTGTGTGTTCTCAGGACAGACTCTAATCCTCAGACTTTCTTTAGAGAGAAGTCCAGGAGGTGCTCAGGAAAATGATCTGTGATGTCACACACTCTAACACACTCCTGTGTCTGTAATGTCACACACTTTAACACACGCCTGTCTGTGATGTCACACAGCAGATTTGGAAGACAGAAAACAACTTTATCACAACAAACTCATTTTAAGCCAACTCAAGCCTCTACAAAGAAGAATAAACAAGGATCAAAAACCATGTAGTTCTAGCGCCCGAACAGTAGGGGGTAGAGGAACTTTACAACATGACACACGCGAGCCCCAGCCCAGTGCCCAGCCCCCCTCTCGGCAGTGTACTCACTTCCTGTGCCAGACCCTCAGAACGCACCAACATCATTCTGCATTTTAACAGGAGCTGTGAAAATGGAAACTGTACCTAGAGCTTCGCGTGGTCTCGTTTGGACGAACAAAGGTATAGAATCTTTCTCTGTGCAGCGCTGAAAGCCCACGTAGCTAGTTAGTTTAACGGCCGCCATTGTTGTTTATGTTTGTTCTTGGCTACTGCGCATGTCCAAAATTACGTGCGGGGAGCAGCGCGGAGGCGGGGGTCAGAGCAGAGGGAGATTTCACACCTTTTTCCGTCTCGTGGGTGTGAAAGAGCTCCCTGCTGTGCAGCGTATCTGAGTTGCCCCACTTTGCAGGCTGGATCTGAACACTTACGTTTTGACCCCCCTGGAACACAGTCTTCGTATGAACGGTTGGTAGAAACCGACATCCAACTATACCGTTTTACTGCTACATTGTCTCCGTGTAAACTCAGCCTCAGACTCAGACTCAGACTCAGTCTCAGACTCAAGACTGAAGACTCAGACCATAGACTGTATATATTAACGGACACAGTCACGCCTTTCTCCGCCGTTCTAACTAATGGGCCAAAAATTCTGCTCTACTGGAGCTATCCAAAATGGCCGCAAATGGTCCCGCCAACAAGAAAATTTTGAAAAAACGCATCTGCGCATGCGTCAGCCGGCCAGAGCCCCATTTACTTGAACGAGAGACTTTAAAAATTCACAGAAAGTAAACTAGAGTGGTCCAAAAAAATTCACCTCCCTCAGCATTGACACACATGTGGAACGGAGCTTTGGGCCAAGAGCCAGCTTTTGGACCATCCTGTAAAGACGTTTTCGAGAGGTCTGCCAATGCTATATGTTAGCATTGGCTAATTCTTCTTCTGGGTCCACCCCCATCGGCCCGGGGTGGTATTGCAAGCATGTCAGCGCACATCATTTTGGGCCGGGACCCGCCCCCACTGGCTCTGACTCAGACTCAGACTCAGACTCAGACCCACACTCAGACTCAGACTCACACTCCGGCTCAGTCTCAGACTCAGACTCAGGCTCAGCAGTGTGGAGTTTGTGCTGAGATCTGTCATGAAGAAAAGGTACAAAGAAAAATCCTGAAAAGTATTCTCTGAGGAAACTGTGATTAACTCTTTAGGCACCGGAGGTTTTACATTTCTTACGAACTTGAAAGTGAAAAGATGAGGATGTCATCTCCTTCGCTCTGAACTCTGTGTACAGTCATTTGACAGTAGTAAATCTGTGGCGAGATTGCTGTTCATTGACTATAGCTCTGCTTTTCATAGTCTTGTCCGAAGCAAACTGGTTGAAAAACTAATGTCCCTTGGTCTAAACCGCAGACATATTTCTTCGTTTGCACCTGTCATCCACATGACAACGCACCATAAACGAATATTTAAAAAAACTCCGGGCAAAGTGGAGATTTTTGAAAACTCTGTTTATGCATTTGCGTGTAGACAGAGATAACCGGAGTTTTGCGTTTTTTCACGTCACAGTATGCTCCCAAAACAACAACAAACAAAACGTGCAACCTCTGATCACTGAAGAAGCATGTATCTTACATCCTTAAAAACTGTTCGCTGCTGCGAGCAGTTCGCCTCCTCCACATCAGAGAGCAGCAAAGTGATAACGGGGTCTCACGCTCGAAAACAACCAAAACAGGAGCTAAACCAGGACTAAACCAGGGCTGAGGATGGGGGTCAGTGCTTGTAAACATCTGTCTTTACCCTGAGTTTCTTCTGTGACTGTAAAAGTGCTGCTACAGAAGTACCGGCGTCGGCATCAAAGCTCCGCCCACTTCTGTGTTTTTCCCCCAACGCAGGACGTCAGAGGACGTTCGGTTATGTGTGGATGCAAATTGTTTTATAAACGGAGGGGGTGAAATATTCGGTTTTAAAAATACCCAGCTATGTGTGGACATGGCCTGAGTGTTGCCTGAGTGTTGTAAGTAGATTTTTAGCTTTTTAACTTTAATTTTTTTTTTTATTTATTTATTTAAAGGGACAATGCATATTAATGAACATGTAAATGTAAATATGCCAGAATTAGCCAATGGCTACTTTCCATCCGTAGTCCCTGGCAGATCAAGAAAATACAAAGACTAATATACAACATTTAAAAGACAAAAGATCATCACACAAATCATCCACACAATTAAACTGGAGACATAAAACAAAGATACTGGTCAGTGGTTACATGTCTGATTCCCCTTCAACCAACCTTTAAGTTTAGTTTTAAATACTATGAATGTAGTACAGTCTCGAATTTCTGCTGGGATGCTGTTCCATACCGTGGTCCCTTTCACTGACAGCACCTGTTGACTAAACGCTGTGCGTCTATAAGGAACCACACAGTCACTTCTGGTGGTGGCTCTGGTCACTCTACCACTTGTACTGGATATGAACTTAATGAATTCATTCAAGGATGGTGGAGAGAGTCCATGCAAAATCTTATAAACTGAACAAGCCATTTTAAATGTTTTAAAACTGATCTCAGAGAGACTTGCTCTCCCCTTAATCAATTTCTGAGAGCAGTTTAAAACTGATGTTTTAAACTGATCTCAGAGAGTGACGATCAATGATTGTCTTTCAGATGCTGTTTCTGTGAGGATCTCCTCAGGGATATATTTTGAGTCCTCTGCTCTTTACCTTGTACACTCACGACTTTGTGGCTTCCTCTGACTCGAACTTGATTGTCACATACGCTGATGACACCACTATCATCGGTCTCATTAGTGATAATGATGAATCCTCTAACAGAGCAGTGATCCAACATGTTTTTCATTGGAGTAAACCATCTCCAGCTGAACACAGCAAAAACATGTGAACTTGTTTTTGACTTCAGTCGCAACAGTTCTTACACGCCTGTTGTTATTGACAACTCCCAAGTGCAGATTGTAGAGGAGTGCAAGTTTCTGGGTTTAACTCTGTCTGACCTGAAATGGGACAAAAACACTAACTGGGTTGTTAAGAAAGCTCGTCAGCGGCTCTTTTTTTTACGGAAATGTAGAGAA